TCTTTCACTACTTTTTTGATCACTATCGTTGATCACTACTGCTAGTAAATTTAGTATCGTTTTTTCTCAAATTAACAATTTTAGGCTAAGAGGTTCTTTAATTTCCAAATATTATTTCTTCGCTAGTACTGTTATGAACTATTAAAAATTATGCTTTCTTAAATCATTAGCTCAAATTGATAGATAATGTTTGCTGAGTAAGAATGCGTGTATTAAAATAAGTTTTTTGAAATTATACTGAACAAATTATAATATTATATTGAGGATAGAAAATGACTATTTAAAAATAATACAAATACTGTGGCTGACAATATTTGTTACAGTCACCGCAGAAGTACTTTACGGTATACGAAAGAAAACGATTTGACGTATGTTTAATGACAATAAGTTAATTTATGTTGCTGCAACAATCAAATATTGCTTACAGTGCTGAAAAATTTAAATGATATAAACAGTAATAATCAATAAACAAGGGTAATAATTAATAATTATAATAATTATGATAGCGTTTATAATAATAATAACAAAAACAATAAGAATAAGAGCAATTATAAAATTTTGATTCTATGAAAAACTTTAACAACTATTTTTTAATCATCTGCAAAATTTTAATCATCATCTTCTTTTTTACTTTTTTTGGTGTTAATTCACGTGACAACATTAGGAATTTTTGTATTTCACTGTAATCATTTTTGTAACCCCAGCTTTCTAACTTTTTTCTTTGTCTTTTCTACGCAACAATAATTTTCGCAGATCCCCAGATGAATGAATTTTCCTAAGGCTTAGGTGTCAAGTTAAAAGGGTGTTTTTAAAGTGCAGAAAAGCTGTTTGGATTTTTAAAATAACCTTGTTTTACGCAGTATTATCGTCATATCACAAAAAGCTGATTTTTGGTCCACAACCGTATGATTAATTGTAAATACACTGTAAGCACGTCAACACGATAATAGTTTTCCTGACACTTTATTAAAATGATAGGAAGAGGTTTATCCTAAAACTAAAAAAACAACAATAATAACAAATTTGAAAGCTGCTGTAACAAGAAAAACAAATTAATCAATAAACTCCAAGTGTTGAAGACTATAAAATAATCGTTTTTACCAGTAAAGTAGATATTTGTTTCCAACTGTTAGTTGGAAAATAAAGAACTTGGCGAAAATTTCTAAATACATAAGAGAAACATTAAACAGTTTTGAGCTCAAAAATAACTCTAATTTACATTTATGAACAAATTACAATGATACGTTGTCCAGGTTGCGAAACAGTCATTAACAATCATTGTACGAAGACGACCAAAGGACAGTAATCACCGAGAAATCCTTCTAGAACATAAGAACTGTTAACACTAAGATTTTTTGTACAGCCATGCTGAAAGATAACATAACAGACCACAATAATATCAAAATCAACTATTTTACAAGAATTCTCAAGAAATTCAGAAAGAAGCAATAACCGTTCAATATTTTTTCTTTGAATACCTAAAATAAAACTCACATCATGTTTACATTAACAAACAGTTGTCAACTTACTGCAATTTGACAGTACATGAGAAGTATTGAGAAAAATCAAACCAGCATGGCAATGTTCAAAAGAAATAATGTGTAAAGTGCAGTTACAAATTACTGGTAAGTATACTGTTGAGCATAAAATGTAGTCGGAGTTTGTTGCTGTAAAAGTTGTGGTTGAGGCGAAGAATGAACTGGAACTGCAGCGATTGGCTCATAATATGCAAGTCGACTCTGGACATCCTGGAGCAGCTGTTTCAGATAACGAACTTGATCTTTCAGCATGACGTTATCAGCTTCCAGCTGTAATTGATTTTGGATTCTCCGAACTCGACAATTAAATGCATAGCCACGATTCTTCAATGTTCGTCTCTTTTGCTTCAATGCTGAAACGACTTGGCGATCTTGCCCCTAAAAGTAAAACCAAAATCAAGCTTTCTCCTGCTGTTTTTGAGTGAAAAATAAAATTATATATCATGGTGACCAAAAGTCACCTGAAGACGTTGGTTGAGCTGCCGAACTGATAAGCAAGCTAGTTCTTCGTCAGATACATGCGGTAAAGTTGAGGAGTTAGAAGATGTTGTTGATAATGTTGGTGAAGAAGACGGCGTTGGCGACACCACGAAGCAATGGTCAGCACTTGTTGGCGAATGAGGTGTCTGAATAGGCTGTAAACCATCTTCAGGTAAGCAACTTCCAGACGGATTACAGTAGGATACAGAAGCCATCATTGACGCTACAGGTGTAAGAGGAGTTAAAATGCTTTCCATAACCCTTAAAGCCGGTTGAAATTTTGGTATAAACTTCAAATGATGATTGTTGTGATAAACACTGGCCCGTACATAAAAGCAAGGTTTTAACTGTCGCTTAAACCTTCCAACTCTGACGCCACGCCTCTTTGGTCCGCCTCCCGCACTGCAAAAAAAAGAAGAGGGAGAAAAGAGGAGAGGCCAACAGTGGGGCAGTGCGATAAAAAAAAAAAAAAGAAGCGAAAAAATTGGAAAAGACCAGAAAAAAAGCATGGAACTCGAAGACAACGTCTATTTATTACTAGCCATATCAATAACTAATTGCTCTGTAACTCTGTACCGTTGGAGACAAAAACAAAAGAAAAAATTGCTTGCAAAAAAAAAAAAATGCAGCTATTATCAAATCAAAAAAGTTTAAGGACAAAATTTTGTACGCTTTAAATTGGTTTCGTAGTATTTTACTTTCAGAAAAGTATATTTTTAAGATAAGCCACATCCCGCATCCCACATTCTAATAGCTGTAAACTATACTTTTAACTTTTATTTTTTTCACTTTAGCAACTTCAAGGTTTTTTTTTCTTTTCGCAACACCTTATGGCCTTTTTTATCATTTGTGATGTTTACATATGCAACAAAATTATTTTTTTCTGACCTACGTTTTTTTCCTACAAAATTTTATTAGCTTTATTTTTTCTCTCCATCCAAGGAATTAGAGAAACTAATTCGGGACGTAAAACGACAAGTAGTTTACAAACCTTATAGAGTTATTTCCTAACTGTCGTTGAGGCAGGCCGTAATGATCGATACGTTACCGATTTCCCCTATCAAAAAATCTGACTTTTCTCGTGTCTTTTTCAACTTTATTATAAACAATTATTAAATAAACGTAGAAGACAGAATTTAAAATTTTTTGAGAATGTTTTATAACTGTTACAAGTAAAGTGAACAGAAGTTCAGACAAAATAATGAAAGGTGTGAGTTGGCTAAGTGATTCAGTATTTTAATTCATGTTTTTTGACAATATGTATTATAGTATTTCTTTCCCTGTGGAATTACAATAGCTCAAATCTACTTTATTTGTAGAACTTCTACTGATAAAGAGTTAAATTCAACAATGTTTGCAGTTTTATAGATTTATAAACTGCACATCAAAGTTTTCCTTAAATTCCTTGAATTTAGTCAGCAAACATCTTAGCTTACCGAATGACAATCTGAAACACCTCCAGTTACAGGTATTGATGCTGGTCAAATAATTTATCAAGCATAACATGTTTATCAATTGAAAAAAGCAGTTTGTAAATAACTACTTTATATAAAAAGCGTCCTCTGTTCTTGGATAAAATATGGTGAATTTAAAGGATGTCATTACAAGTTCACTAGTCGTAAATTTCAATTTTAATCATTATAGTAGAGTTGCACAAAGAAGGACTTTGAGAAATTTGCTCTAATTACCAAAAAGGAAGAACTAGTGACTTTGTAAGACCGAAACAGTTATGCGTGAACCTCCTTGGTTCTAATTCTGGTCTCCGTCACTTTACCTGCTGTAAATGTATTTTTAATACAAATAGTGATTTTTTTATATTAGCAACTTAAAAGAAAGAAGAAAATAAGTAACTGTTCTGTTAATTTTCACTTTTCTTGTGATGCACTGATTTAAGCAAGAAAGCGTACATAAGCGTTTAAAAATAAACCGACTTATCAGGAAAGCTATACTTTGATGTTCTCACACACTTACAATTACGAGGTTTATAAAAAATAATAGTGACCATTTTGCATTTCCTACTGTATAATTTAGCTTGTAAAATTAGCTCACGTGGCTATTCTAATGTGCCGAGAAAAACAGAGTAATTTCAGGTTTAGTTAACCTTAACACCGAAATTTCCTGCAAACAGTTTTTAAATTATACTTTAGGTTTTTTTTGCTTTTTTCATTTTGAAGGGGAGTGCAGATCATACTTGCAAGAACAGCAATTGGTTCAGGCATTTTCAGCAGTATTCTGTTTTGATACTATCTCCCGTTAAGTTTGGTAAGTTTACAAGAAATTGTGGTTGACACTTTTTTTTTGTGAAGCGAGCATGATCACCAGCTAAACGGAGAGAACAGGACACCACGCAAGGCTTTTCTGGGAAATGAGCCTGGCCTACTGAGCGTCAGGCTCTGTGCCGCTGTCGCTTATATAAAAGTCTAGTGATGCAAGTAATCTAGTCATTCTTCACTGTAACATTTAGGGACCGTATATGAGTTCATCTGCCAAAAAAACAAAAACACGTTTCGCTGTTAGTCAAGAATTTCAGGAAACAAAGTTCGAAAGAAGTCTTTGGAGATGATCGTTGCTATGTTCTCTAATCACCCATCTAATGCATAAAAAGCAAAGTGTTAATCCTAAAAGTGTTAAAAAAAATTATAAGCTATTTATACTGCTTTGATTTATCTATTTTAATTCTGAGCTTAATAATTCTGCACTTGCTCAATAACGGTCATTAGTATTTGCACATTAGGTGGATGGCAAACGTAAGTAATGAATAAGTGATAGACTTGTTAAGCAGACCACCAAAAAAACTGTCTTTTTTTTGAAACATATAATATGCGTTAATTTCTATACTTATTAGTCGGATAATTCTTTCGGTGATAACAGCTTCTGCCTGAATTAAAGTTTCTCTTTCTCTTTATTCTTTTTAAGAGAGCGAACATTTATTTGACTGAAAGAATCAGCAACCAAAAGAGTAACAAAAAGTTTTTTTTGGAACATATAGCAGTAGCGTTTTTCTTCAGCCATTTCTTTGCTAAATGAGAAGCTGAGAAGAATACAACAGAAGAATAAAAGAAAACGTATATAGATGCTAATATCTTTAAAGAGCAGACAAAAAAAAAAGAAAAAAATTATTATTCTGAAGAAAAAGGGGAGGGGGGGGGAAGGGGTAAAGTGGAGCAATTTATCCACAGTTCTCATAACCATTCTGCAAATCGCTACAAAACACAAAAAAATAAGACTTATTTTACTAAAAATGAAAATACGGCACTTATAATAATATATCTGTACTGAACTTACAATGATTTGAGCATCAACAAAGTAATAAATAAATGGTACGTACTTGACTGTTTGGTACGTTATAACATTATTTTTAGTGTAAGATAACGTAATATTTTATAACAAATAAATATATTTGTAGATTAGCAAAAAAAACTACTAATTTAGCTTTCTCTTATCCTTGTTCTTTTAAAAAATTATTATTTGTTCAAAAAAACGTCTTTTTTTCTTTTGACACCTTTTTAAAAGCTGGTGAACAGTTAAAAGTCTGTTTTGATGACAGTCTTTTGAGTTGATCTATATACTTATTTTATCATCTAGGCAGTTTGTAGCATCAAATTAATCCTGGATCAGTTTCGTGTCTTCGTGTTCGGCATGAACAACCTGAATAGTCATTAGTTCCAAATAATGTATAAATGATCAAATTAAACTGTTCGTGTCAAATTTCGCTTGAATGGGACGTCTATATGTTTCATTGACTTTGCACATTTCTCGGAACATTAACCGACCAGCATAGTTCATCAAAAAATTATTTTAAAAAGTACACTTGTATCTTAATCTGTACTGTGAAAAAGTTTTTCTATTAGTCATTTAGATTAGATTTCGAGTAAATTACATCAGCTGGAACCAGAATATTCTTGCAGAACTTTAGCTTTAAACTGCACAACGTGGGTAATGTGAGTTTCTGATACAGATTATCAAAGTTAAATACCTTATTGCTACATATCAGAAATCTACTATCAGATCAAATTAGCAAAGCTTCAGAGAAGTAGCGATAAAATATTTAGTTAAGTCTATTCAACAAAGTGTTATTATTTAAAAAATTGACCGTCAATATTGTAAGTGTAGTAAACTTATATAATTAGCTGTAGCGAGAGGCTTGCATGATGGGTAGTTGCGATCAATCACCACTGACAAAAGTTTTCTTGTTATTCCGAGTTACTGCAGTTGTCATTTTTTATAGAAAAGCGGATTCAAAAGAATATTTTCTAGTGCCAAGCATCACGCCCAAATGCTGCGTAACTGTCGACATTTCCGCAATTTTCTCTACAATCTTCTAATACTTACAGACATTTAAAAAAAGGAAAAAAAATGCATTTGACCACTTTTTTACTTCTAGAATGCGTTGAGTTAAGGTTCTTGACTTTGCAAGTTGTTTTTCAACAAAATTAAAATTTCTAATTGGCCATACTTAAGTAACAAACTAAGCTTCTTCAATAAAAAAGAAATACAAATTGTTTAACAAAATTTTACTCAAAATTGAGAATACAATGAAAAAGGTAATTTAGTGTTTTAATCTTTCAACATTTTCTACATATACAGCAAAGTAAAAAATTTTTATTCAATCTACATTTGAGCTGTTAAAACTTTTCAGGAGTTTGTAACACTGGTAAACACTAATTTGATAGTATTTTATTCACCTTACTCCTGTAAAAAATAGCAAAGTGCTTTACTTGTTTCTTCTAATTTTGTGCCTGATAGACAACTTTTTATTCCACCTTAAACTCTTTTTTCTCAGAATACTAATTGTTAAGAAAACAAATAAATTAAAAAAGTTAGAATGGTAGTGAGTATTGAATGTTTCTTGGTAATCTTTAATTCTGAAATTCGAGACTGCATTTAATTTTTAGCAACTTTTTTTGTAAATTAAAAGTTCTTAATAGAAATATAACTAAAAGTTTCTTTTTCAAAAAACAAGGATCTGATTAATTTTTTGATATTTAAATCCAAATTCAGCCTTTCTGAAGCAGAAGAAGAGAACTGGTGACTAAAGAATATATCAACTGTTTTAGTGTGCTGAGCGAAGCGGCATAGAAATAGGCAGTACAAGACAGGACGAATGGTGGCAGAAGTTGTTATTAAAGAAAGCAACTAGGATATAATTCGTAATCGAAAAAAACCTTTCTTTTTAACTCTTACACAATTAAAATTTCTTAATAAGCCCAACATTGGTTTATGACTAACTGGCAGATCGTTTAAAAGCATTATAATC